CCGGCCCACTGCCCAATTCAAACGTGCGGCGAGATCGATCGATCGTTACAACTCTCTGCGCGCCTAGTAACGATCGATCGATCTCGCCGCACGTTTCAATTGGGCAGTGGGCCGGCCTAAGACAGCGATTTTTAATAATTAATAACTTGCTGACTTTTGCGAAAATTGCAAAATGGTAGAGGACTTTTCGACTTAGTCTAGTCCACTCTATCCCACAATAAGCGTTGATGCGGGTATTACATAACACCCTGTATAATACTTATCGTACAAAATAAAATAAATGACTATAATTTTCTCGTGTTTTACATTACTATGGTGTATCGAAGAATGGGGACTCTGTAATCTAAATAATTTAATAACATTACGTTGAGGAATACTTAATAATTTAGCCTTATTGCTTCTTTTATAATATATCTTTTACTTGAATCACTTTTTGCCTAATACTTTTCACTCAGAGGATAATTACCACAATGAAATAAAACATTAACAATATGCTACAAGAGATTGCAAACTCGGAAACAATTTTTACAATGAGCCTGCTCTGAAGTTTAATTAAGATATTTTTTTGCACGTCTTTTTTTGCTAAAATAAAAAATTATATCATGTTTTTACTCGCGAATATCAATAAATAGTTAAGATCCTTAGGCTGGAGTGAATAATCATAAACAGTTTTAGCCTACGAAACTAGTGAGAAATAATTTAAAAAAAGTAATCATTAACGTGGATGACCGTTCAGTTACTGTATCGTGCGATTATATGGTTTCTGTCGCTTGCATCATTGATAAAAAATAACAGTGCGATATGAAAAGTAGTTTTGTCGTGGCGATGTATTATTACGAATTATTAATGATCACAGATGCATCGATGAAAGATCGCAATTAACGCTTACACTTACACTATTGGGTAGTAATACTTTGTTTTCACTATTGACTATTATTATGCTCAATGTAGGTATATATTTATAAAGTCGTTCTAGTTGATCATCTTCAATGAGCAAATTGCCACTTGGCTATCAGGAGCTTTGCCGAAGGGTTTATTTCCATCGGGCGTCTCGTACCTGTTGACTTGGTACACCAGCATTGTTTCGTAATCGTACACATCCGTGCCAAGTTGCTGCGTATAAAGTTTAAAAAATATGGGTTAAGAATTTTGCAAAAGCACGTGTTCATGTGACACGTTTCTATGCTATTACACAGAGAGAGACTTTTCTCTTAAATGTAATCTCGTAGGACAATGTGGCAATTTGAACTGTATATGAGAGTTTTTTGAAATTTTACCATACAATCTACTAGTAAAATGTATACCTACTAACAGTAATTACTAGTAGAATGTATGGTAAAATTTCGAGAAACTCTCATAAAATGTTTTGAAATGCCATATTGTCCCGCGATTACACGATTTTCAGGATAAAGTTTTAGAAAAATTTCTGTACCCTTACCGGAAATAATTCTACAAAATTCTACAAAACTATAAAATATAACTGCACGAATCTAAGAAATTCTACGTAAAAGATGTTATAAAAATCAACATAAAAATGCTAGAATTGGAACAATTTTGTTAATTTTGTAATATTCTACAGGCAAGCAGATGTTTTAATTCTTTAAGATTTTGTTGTTTCTCAAACTAGTAAAGTTTTGTACTGATTTTTACAAAATTGTACATTTTCATGAAAAACTACTTGTAATAATTTCTTGACTTGAGAACATTGTAATTTGTGGTGCTATTTCGTAGATACTTTTGCAAAAAATTAATGTTTCAACGAAGATATAAAAATTTCTGCTTTCTATTTCAAGTCAATTTTTGCAGTTATTTATAGACATTTGTGGTTATTTATAGACATTTTTTCCGTTAGGGACGTATAGTCAAATTATGAAAAGATTAAGTTTGTCGCTTACCTGTGTGAGTGGACTGGTGTTGGTGGTGAAAATTCCACTGTACTCTTTTCGCTTGGCAAGTTGCAAACAGTATTCTTCCATTTGCCTTATCACAAGTACATTTTCCACGGGATTCAAGTCGATGCCCGTCGCCATCATGTAATTGTGAATGATCTTGCCTTTGCCCTTCGGTAATTTGTACTCTCTGATCGGTCCCTCCAGATACTCGAGGAAGTCGAAAGTGATCATCAACTTAGATTTTAGTATCAGCTCGGGCTCGTCCCAAAGATCAAAGTTGAGCGTAACCCCGATTGTTTTGCCATTCTGCGCCGACTTGATCACGAAACTGAGATTCTTCTCCACAAGGGGTTCCCACATATTCTCCATTAGCTCCCGGTAATCGGCTCTCGTTATGTCCGGCATTAACCACTGCTCCAAATCGGCTTTCGCGTAAAAGCTCTCCGTGACTATTCTGCAAATTTAAATAAATGTTTCCACTGACTGTTTCACGCGTATACGATAGCGACTGTTAAGGGGATGCTGGAGTGATTGTGCACTTTTGCACCTTTTGCACTTAAAACTGCCTGTTTCGTGGAAACATTTGTGTAATATACAAATTAAATGGCTCACGTGTACAGATTGAAAGCAGCTGGCTATTCCGGCTAAATGAAAGAACAATGTGGCATCACTGAAACTAAGTTTGTAAGTCTAATAAAAATTAATAGCGAGCAACACACATACCACATGTACTGTATATGTATGTGTTGCTCACTATTATTTCTTATTAGACTTACAAACTTAGTTTCAGTGATGCCATATTGTTCTTTCATTTAGCCGGAATAGCAAGCTGTTTTCGATCTGTACGCGTAAGTCATTTAATTTGTATATCACACAAGTGTTTCCGCGAACTGAGAGTTTCTAGGTTAGAAAGGTGCAAAAGTGCAGAATCACTCCAGCATCCCCTTAAAGCTCTCACTTTTGCGCAACACTTACTCGATCGCGTCCTCCTTGTGGCAATCGTTTAACAATTCAAAGACGTACGACTTCTGGTCGATGACTTCGTTCAGGGGCTCCTCGTCTGACGATATAAGCTTCATCCTGTCTAACGTTTCCCCTAAATTTTTCGCTGTGATAAAATCCGTGATGCCAATCTGATAGCCTTGATCTCTTAACTTGGTGACGGTGTAAATGGAATTCAAGGAATTTCCACCGAGCTCGTAGAAATTTGCGCGTAGGGTTACCAGCGCGCGGCTGCTACGTCCGATTACGGACGCGATGGTCGGAAAGAGGATACGGGCCTTTGCAAGATCTTGACTTGGCACGCCGTTGTAATCGCAATTCATGGCAACGTTGTCTTCTGGGGAACCAAATTATTTATCTCAGTAAAATATAGATCTTTCAAAATATGAATTGAATTTTATCATTTGTTAATAATTAAGAGAAATTGAATCGCAATTTATTCTGGACATTTAGATATTATTACCCGTGAAAAAAAAATTAATATGTTCCAAATAAGGAATTTAATAAAAGTTTTATAAATTCTTTATAAAAATTTAATAAAGAATCCATATAAAACTTTATATGTGCTGTTATAAACAGAGCAAAGGTCTTTCACCTTTTAATTTGTTTATATTAACAATTTATTAACTGTAATATGACTTTATTGAGCCTTATTAAGTCCAATTTATAGAATTTAATTAGGT